GCTACCCAAAAAATCCAAAGAGCCTGGGTAAAAAAATATTCACAGTGACACTGACTGCCAAAACAATCAAACTGCTCTATAACACACACACACACACACACACACACACACACACACACACACACACATACACACACACACACACACACACACACTCTGAGTGAAGCAAAGGAGCACAGAGGTCACTGACCATCACACACAGAGAAACACACACGCACTTCAAAATGCTGACCAAGTCTCATGAGATTCGCTACTAAATAAAGATCAACTGTGCCACGTAAACATGCCTGTCCCGCAGCATGTCCTGGATTTGTTCTTGAATTATTAAGCAAACAACAGTTTCACAATAGTTCGTCTTTTCTTGACTGCTGGCGACAACAAACAGAAAGAAGCTTGATTTTTTTTTACATCCAAAAGAAAACGGTGTTGCAAGGGTATTCATGAGTGTTGCTAGGTGGATAAAGGCTGTTCCTGGTGGTTGCTAGGGGGTTTTCTTGAGTGTTCTGGTTGAGAGAGTGTTGCTAAGGGTGTTCTGGATGGATGCTAGGTGGATGTTAGGCTGTTCTTGGCGGTTTCTATGGTGTTGAGGGTGGTTACTTTGGTTATCTGGTCAAGAGGGTGTTGCTAATGGTGTTCTAGATGGTTGCTAGGTGGATGTTAGGCTGCTCTTTATGGTTGCTAGGGTGTTTACTAGGGTGTTCTGGTTGAGAAGGTGTTGCTAAGGGTATTCTGGATGGTTGCTAGGTGGATGTTAAGCTGTTCTTGGTGGTTCCTAGGTGTTGAGAGGGTTACTTGGGTGATCTGGTCGAGTTGGAGTTGCTAAAGATGTTCTGGATGAATGCTAGGTGGATGATAGGCTGTTCTTGAGGGTTGCTAGGGTGTTTACTCAAGGGTTCTGGTCGAGAGCGTGTTGCTAAAGGTGTTCTGGATGATTGCTAGGTGGATGTTAGACTGTTCTTGGTGGTTGCTGGGGTGTTAAGGGGTGTTGCTCGGGTGTTCTGGTCAAGAGGGTGTTGCTAAAGGTGTTCTAGATGGTTGCTAGGTGGATGTTAGACTATTCTTGGTGGTTGCAAGGGTGTTGAGGGTGGTTGTTCGAGTGTTCTGGTCAAGCAGGTGTTACTAAAGGTGTTCTGGATGGTTGCTAGGTGGATCTTGGGCTGTTCTGGATGTTTACTAGGGTGTTGAGGGTGGTTGCTCAGTGTTTTGGTCAAGCTGATGTTGCTAAAGGTGTTCCGGAGGTTGCTAGGTGGATGTTAGGCTGTTCTTAAATGATGCTGGGGGGTTGAGAGGGTGTGGCTAAAGATGTTCTGGGTGGTTGCTAGGTTGATGTTAGGCTGTTTTTGGCGGTTGCTATGGTGTTTACTAAGGTGCTTTGGTTGAAAAGATGGTGCTAAAGGTGTTCTGGATGGTTGCTAGGTGGATGTTAGACTGTTCTTTAAGAATGCTAGGGTGTTAAGGTGGTTACTCTGGTGTTTTGGTTGAGAGCGCGTTGCTAAAGATGTTCTGGATAGTTGCTAGGTTGATGTTAGGCTGTTCTTGGCGGTTGCTAGGGTGTTCTGGTTAAGAAGGTGCTGCTGAAGGTGTTCTGGATGGTTGCTAGGTGGATGTTAGACTGTTCTTGAGTGATGCTAGGGTGTTGACGGGTGGTTACTTGGGTTATCTGGTCAAGAGCGTGTTGATAAGGGTGTTCTGGATGGTTGCTAGGTGAATGTTAGGCTGTTCTTGACAGTTTCTATGGGGTTGAGGGTAGTTACTTGAATTATCTGGTCAAGAGGGTGTTGCTAAAGGTGTTCTGGATGGTTGCTAGGTGAATGTTAGGCTGTTCTTGAAAGATGCTAAGGTACTGAGGGTGGTTACTCGAGTGTTCTGCTCGAGACGGTGTTGCAAAAGGTGTGTTTGATGGTTGCTAGGTGGATTTTTAGGCTGTTCTAGGCAGTTACTAGGGTGTTGAGAGTGGTTGCTCTGGTCAAGCAGGTTTTGCTAAAAGTGTTTTGAATGGATGCTAAGTGGATGTTTGGCTGTTCTTGGCGGTTGCTAGGGTTTTTCCTTGGGTGTTCTGGTTGAGAGGGTGTTGACATATCGGGCTGCTCCACTAAATACACGTTACAGGTCAGACTACTAATGGTGCACTTTAAACATTAGCGTCACCGTTCAGTTGTAAAACATTTGTAGGAGATGGGGTCAGCTATCTGACACACATTACCGTAGTTAAACTGTCCAGAACTCAAACATTGACCCTGATTCACTCTCTCTATATTTATTCTCTCAGGTCAGCAACGGTTTATGTGTGAAAGCAACGGCAGTGAGAGGTGCATGTCACACACACGTATTGATGCAAAAGCTCACGCATTCGGCGGGGCATGCCACACACTGGTGGTATAAAACAAGGTGACCTCGACAGCACCTGCATACACGTGTCTAAACACACATACACACACATCGAAATTGAACTGCTCAAATGCACATGTGTGCACCTTCAGCAGATGTTGCATTGTTTGGATACGCCAAAGGGAAAGATACGGAGAAGGAACACAAACACACACAATTTAAGCCGTACTATTATCTGATTACATCAAGTGCATTAAAGCGCTCTATTAAACGCTCCGCTGATCTGAGATGGCTCCTGGCTGAAAGCATGTGCACTGCACACACTTGAATACAGTCTGAAAAATGCACTGCATGAACACATTGTTTGCGTCAATTTGAAACACTAGAACGAATGGCCTTCAGGGTTATTACTTAGATTGAGTTGAACAGGGTTACTGTAACACCAACAACACGAAGCTTGAGGTCACATGATCACCACATATACACTGAAAAAAGTGTTGCATGCAGAACTGTTGCAAATAATTTATTTGTGATCAATTTAAACAAACAAATTAAGTTTAATAATGTTCAACTTAATTTGTTTGTTTAAATTCAACACAAATAAATTGTTTACAACCACTTAACTTAAAAAAATGAGTAAATCCAAGGAATCATCTCTGAATAATTTTTTCAGTGTACTACTCGTTTTAGCTTGGTGGAGTAGCTTGTCTGAATTTTAAAAAACACATTGGTTGCAGAATAAATTATTAATAGATGTCAAATATACATGTAAATATAATACAGTGGTCGTTAATCCCGGGAGTTCCATTCTAAAAATAACCCACAATAGGCGAAATCTGCGAAGTGGTCAGCATTATTTTTTACAATTATTATAGATGTTCTAGGGCTGTAAAACTGATGAAACGAAGATTCATTTAGTCCGTAATGGAGCCCTACAGCCGCGTAACTTCTACCTTTGTTTAGCATGTCAAGAAGTCCAACTTTTTGTGCAATTGTTAGCATTGTTTGTTAGGAAGAAAACGTGACAAAAGTCACACTGCTAGCGATCAAAGATTTATGTAAATTTGCCAAGCTGAACGCATTCCATATTATACAGGAGACACGGCACGGAGATTGATTGACAATAGTCTACAGCCAATCGGGACGCAGAACATAATGCCCTAATCAGGACGCAGAACGCAATGCGTTATAATAAAATAAGCATGACAAATTGCACGAAAAAAACTGAAACTGCGGGGTCGTGAAAGGTTGTGAAACATCCACACCACTAGGGGTCAGTATAAAGTCAGAGATCAGTGAAAAACAGTACAATAGTATTTGAGCAAATGTAGGTTTTTACTGATACAAAAGCTTTTGGTTAAATAGTTTTGGTCCATACGTTTAAATATCCGCCCAGGCTCAATCTGAAAACGCAGTCCCGTGGACGTATCTGGAGACTGTGAATTATGTCATTTAATTTTTTTAAGTGAACACTACGGGGCGGTATGACGCGGCTCCTTTTCGGGCTTAACGGCCGGCCGCTTACTTCCGTGTGGAGGGCTTTCCCGCTGCGACCAGTTTGTCCAGTTAGCTTGTCGTGTACGTCAGCGGACTTGAGACGCAGAGAGGAGCTGACTACGACGACGATAGTTCGAGTCTGGAGAAGAGCGGTTCCAGATATCAGGTTAGACTAAAACACAATCCAAAAAATAAAGTCAACAGGGTGAGAATGTGGTAAAATCCGAAAACGTGGTAAAATCAGACGAGAGCTTTTCTATTTCCGGACGGCTTTTGTAAATTGTTAGTTGGGTTTAGGGAAGTAAGCAGGTGGGTGGGTCAATCAGTAAAATTGGTTGGGTTTAAGGAAGGGTGAGGGTGGGTCAGTCGATTGGCCGGTCGCACAGTCAATCATTCTGTCAGTCAGACAGACAGTCGTTTGACAGCGGCCTCTATCAAACACAGTTGATCCAAATAATCGAGGTGTTCACCTTCATCAGGTGAACACCTTCATTAGTTGGATCAGCTGTGTTCGATTAGGGTTGGAGCAAAACTGCTGAGCTGCGGCCCTCCAGGAATTGAGACATATGGTGTCCAAACTCGGTCCTCGACCGGTGTTCTACAAAGTTTAGTTCCAACCCCAATTAAAGACACCTGAACCCGCTAATCAAGCCCTTTCTAGGTTTACTAGGAACTTTCAGGCAGGTGTGTTGAAGAAAGTTGGAACTAAACTATGCAGGACACCGGCCTCCCAGGACCGAGTCTGGACACCCCTGGTTTAAACCAATTAGGTGACTTATCAACTTTGGATGCCTTAACTGTAGATCTTGCGCAATAGTTGTTACTGACTGCAAGCTACTGACCGGAAACTTTTTATAGCCTAGGTCTGGTCTTTTGTTGGAAAATAGTTTGTCCAGTTCAAGGTCTCTGCCAAAGATAACGAGTTGTTCTTGAGCGAAAGTGAGCATTTGGATGCTCGTGCTCCACTTCTGTGTCTCTACACAACTGCACATTCACTCCATCCCCATGTCAACTCTATGGCAACGGCACACCTCACATGCCCCATCATGCCAGCGTAAATGACAAACACACACACACACACACAATCACATAGAGAATAGAGAGAGAAAAACAGATTGTCAATCCAGTCCAGCCTCCCCGCATGTGCTATTTGCTCTTTAAAACTCTCCTCCCTTAAAATACAAAAACTATTAATTATTGTATTAACAATTACTATGATATTTCTCAGTGTTACACCATTAAAAAGTGCAGCTCACGTTTCTCCGACTCTTTTCAGAGGAGAAAAGAGTAAAAGAGTCTCATAATAAGACGGAAGGAAGCCATGAGAAAAATAGAGCAGCATATTCACACACTTTGATTATTTTTAACATCAATGAAGATACACATTAATGCTGTAATACACGCACGAAACCTGTCGAGAACAGGTCCAGGTCACATCTCACAGCAAGATCAAAGGCGAGGAAGGGGAATTATTATATTTTGCGCAAAGAAGATAAAGCATGTTTATAGGTCCATTTATTTGTATTGATAAATAACACCGTTATTAAAACCGTATATGGCATAATTATAATTCATATGGCAGAATTATGATTTAAAGTAGCAGGAATTAATCACCTTAACGCATACAGTTATCAAAATCTATAAATATATCTATGTTATTTAAGGTAAAATGCTTGTTTCTTTTGATTTTGGGATAAAATATGACCCGGACGTGTTTCTGTGAGATTCATCCTCATCTACCTGACACAGTCGCATACGCACACATACGTAGGTAAAGGCAAGTATTTTTTTCCATTAATAGGAGGATTTCTGTAAAAGATGAGCCCCTATCAGCGCACACAAAAAAAAAACACATCACTAGAGCAAAGTGTGGCGAGAACTATCCAGCGCATGTGGCGCAAAATCAACTTTTTGCTTCTATATTTCACAGCAAATCTGGAAGAACAATTCTGATTGGTTTCTTCAAATGTTCTATTCGTGAAAAATAAGATGACATCAAGTTTTACTTTTGTGTATGTGTTTTTTTTTCTCTTCTTCCGTCAAGAATATCTCCCAAAAGTCCCAGAAGACCTGGAACGATCCTTCATGGAAGTTATCTTTCCTCCTCCTCCATCGGTGGTAAATGTTTTTTTAACAATATTTTGGTTGGATCTACAACACGTCACTCACAGCACACGGACGACAAGGGATCCCAAGAAAAAGAGGGACTTCACTACTATTGTGCCAGCGATAAAGAGAAACCACAGAGAAAAAAGCAAAAGAGACAGAGGTGGTGGAGTCTATTTGCTGTCCGTAGGTCTCCAGATGGCGTAAGATTTCAATGTCTATCAGCTGAACCAATCGGCGCGTTTACTCAGGAGAAGAAAAAAGATGGGAAGATGGATAGAACGAGAACAAAGGTGCGGAAAATCAGGTCAAGTGGGATAGACGCAGAAAAAGGCTTGGAGAGGTCAGGGATTTTGAGAAAAACAACTATAAATGGAGACGAAATAAAACAAGAGACTGTTAATGGAAAGAGGGCGTCTCGTTTCCCCTCATGGCTTTAATTACAGCGGCCCTCCGGGGCCGATGGACTCGCATGGGATGTCTGAGACCTGGAAAATACAATTCCCAGAGTTCCTGTGACTTGATCCGTTTCAGCGGTGGCCAATTTAAAGGCTGCCAAATGAGCTCCCACGAGTCGGCGGGTCTAGACATGGGGTTGGTTCAGTGAGATGAGGGACGAGGCTGAGGTGATGCGTTCACACATCAGATAGATGTCAGACCTCTCCAGCCTGAGGACACAGGGGAATTGTGGGTAAAAAAAAAAATCAAAACAGGAAGGAAACGACATCCTGGTAACATGTAGTTGTAATGTGAGTGCTCTCAGAGCATCATTAAATGGCTTTGTTGGTTTTAGTGTTTATCCCAAAATCCCAAATGAATGCTAATGTGCACAATATCAAGGAACTAAATTAGAGTTTAGTTAACATGCAGGCCTTTATGTAACCCCCCAGGACTGTACTAGCATTCTGTGTGGGACCCAAACTGGTGTCTTTAGTATGTGAGGCAGGCATGCTAACATGAATGCTATAGACTTCAGCCTTTTGTGTTGATTGCTAGTGAAGCTCTTGGGGCCAGGAGAGTAAGGTTTACTTGCACATCATCTATTCGTTGCATTGTTACACTTGCCACCTAAACCATCTGGGTTATGGCACCAATTTAACCCCTCCAGGCCTACTCTCATCAGGGCACACTACAAGAAGGCTAAGCACTGCAGTCTCAAAGACAATTTGCTAGTATGTCCCTTGAGGACAGAGAAGTGAGGCTTACTCACAAATCTCCAACTTGATCTTCAGAATTACACTCTCATTGGTTCATAGCACTAATGAAACGCTTCTGGTTCTACTAGCTTAGAATTTGAATGGCATGGGATACAGGTGAATAACAAGGACACTAAGGACTGCAGCCTCATGCATTTGAAGCCAGGGGATTGAGGTTTACCTGCAAATCCTTGACTAGCAAAATTAGTTATTCTCGCACGTTAATCCTCACTCCCAACTGGATCATGGTAACAATGCAACCCGTGCAGTTCTACTAGCACTACTTGGATTTGAATTCTAATGGGGGTCTCTGGTTTGGGAAGTAGATAACAAGGTAGCTGAAGACTGCATCCTCTAAAGTCAGTCCCTAGTGTACCTCTTTAGGTTAGGGGAGTGAGGTTTACTTGCACATTTCCAACTTTCTGGCTTCTTTTACACTCAACCTTCTAAACCTTACTCCCACTTGGTTAATGGCACCCTTCAGGTTCAACTAGCATCAATTAAATTGGGATTTGCATGAGTGTCTTAGGCATGGGAGGCATGAGCACTAACAAGGACTCTAGTTTACCTCTTGAGAAGAGGGGGTGTAAGGTTTACCTTCACATCTCTAATTAGCTGGCCTCTAAACCTCACTGCCATCCGAGTCAGGGCACCAGTGTAACCCATCAAGTTTTACTAGCATTACTCAAATTAGGACTTGCATGGATGTATCAGGCATGAAAGGCAGGTGCGCTTACAAGGACTCTAGTGTACAACATCAGTCCCTAGTGTACATTTTAAGGTGAGGGGAGTGAGGTCTATCTTTAACTATCTTGCCTCTTTTACTCCCAACCTCCTAAATCTTACTCCCACCTGGGTTATGGCACCAATTAAACCCCTATGGTTCTACTAGCAGTGCTCCAATCAGGGTTCAAACTAGTGTCTCCAGTGATCCAACAATGATGCTGCATTCTCTATTGTCAGTCACTGTTGCTCCTCTTTAGGTAATGGGAGTGAGGTTTACTTGCACATCTCCTGCTAGCTGGTCTTCGTTATGCTCACACTCTAAATCTCACTCCCATCCGGGTCACGGCACCAAATATAACCCCTACTTACTATTTGGCCTCCGTTACATTTACACTACATGTTACCAGACTAAAAAGAGATGAAAGTGAAGGAGAGACTCAGAAGCTCAAAGGTTAAAGGTTACAAGAGTGGATGGCTAAAAGTACCCGTGTTGTGCCGCCTGGCAGCAAGTTAGTCTTGTGCATAAGGACGGGGTATCGGGTCAAATGGGGTTGGAGGGGGAAATGGGGAAATGGAAAGGGTGAATCAGGCTTTGAGGGCGTGCCACTGTGCCACATTTGTACGTGGCCGGCTCAACATGTCCTTCCAATGTTTGACCTCACCAGGACCACTCTTCCATGACAGGTAAATCTGAAAGAGAATGAAAGGGAAAGAGATGATGGTAAACAAGCATGAAGGACACAGCAGGGTTCCCGCTCTTTTCGAAAATGTTGGGAATTATAGGTTGGGAGTCATGGAGAATTAACCGCCTCATTTCCAATTCTGTTTTCAAAAGTTTTATTAGAGCATGCACATGAAGACTCTGTTTTCACCTTTCCAATGACATCATTGCGGCTCAGACGATCTTTATCCATGACGGTGATGATGATGGTGGTCTCTCGGAGAACATGTGCGGGCACGTCAAAGGGGAAGGATTCATTAAAAACGGGGTTCAGGCAGCGTTTGATGGTCACTGTCTTCTTCTTTTCCACTCGCTTGTCTTTGTGCATTAGCCATACTTTTACATAGGGATCTACAGGCAATCAGAGAATGAGAGGCTGTGAGTTATGCACATGACAGCTAATCTATATCAATTGTGGCATCTCAACCAGTGTGTGTCCGTGTACCTGAGGTGCCCCCGATGTCCATGGCTTTGAGGTTGCGAGCTTTTATGATGTTGACAGTGATGGTGTTGGCAGTGGGGTTATAACACAGAGACACCAGCAGATCACCACGACTTCCCTAAAACACACATACACAGACATAAGCAGCGTGTTCTACAGGCGTGTGCAGAGGGGGGCTTTGGGTGCTTGAGCACCTGCCCTTTTTTCCTCTTGTAGAGAAAGCACCCCTTGAAAATGAACAAAATGAAAGTGCTCCCACATCCTCAATCACACACCCCCACTCCCCCGCTTTTCAACTTCGTGATCAGGCCTCCCTAAGTGCCCCCAACATTCCACAACTTGCGAGAATCCCCTCCCCCTATGTTCTGGTTAAAAGATCTGAAGAATCAACGTATCCTGAAGAAACATTTTTTCCTTTAATGGTCCATACGTGGACATTCCTCTTTTGTTTCTTTTTGTTTGTAAATCTGAAAATGTCGACTCACGCTGCCGTCACTGCAGGGTTTGAGATCCTTCCAGAAGGACTTCAGCTGTCCGAGCTCCACTTTATTCAGAGGAATGGAAACCTCTCCGATTGGGTCGTTACGGCTGAACCGATCGTAATCCAGCACCTGGAGGTACAGCGTCCGCTCCCGCACCTTCTCATATGGGAACCCTAGAAGGATTGTTATCCATTCAGAATGATGTTTACTACACCAATGCTGCGCAAACAATCTGAAATGTTAAGAAACTGACCTTCAAACAGGAAGGTTTCGTTCCAGTGCGGGTTGAGATTTTTCCTCTTGACTTTGGTCTCAAGTTTGTGCTTTCTGTCAGGCAGTAGGTAGATTTTCACAAAAGGGTCGGAGGTCCCAGAGAAGTCTTTAGCAGGCAGATCTTGACCTTTAAGGATCTTCACCGTCAGAGTTGTGTCTTGGAAACTGTAGCCCAAAGAAAACTGAATCCTGCCCAGTTTCTCACTCACTGGACCTTCATGGTCATCGTCCTCCGACCCCGGAGACAACTAAAGAGAGTTGGAGAGAGAGACAGAATGATCAACAGGAGACAAAAACAACATTTAAACACTCCTGAATAACCAGAGATTTGCTAGAGAGCAATCTTTAGAAGCTGACGTTTGTTGTTTTCTTTTTAACAATTTAAAGATGCCTGCTGTTTTATTGATTGAGAAACGCACACACACACGTCTTAAGATATTTAGGCCAAGACACTCTAGGAGAATAGATTAAACAGATATTATCATACTTCCCCAGACTGATTACATTAGGAATTGCAAAAATCTCTTGTAAACGTATTCTGAATTGTTATGATAGGGTTATGGTTAGTAGGACTGCATACAAATCTTGAGTAGTTTCTTTTAAAACAAGGTAATTGCAAATTTTATTCTCACAATTTTACGTTAATATCGTGCAACTCTGACATTTCATTGGAATTCTGAGTTTAGGTCTCAGAATTTGACTTTTCCCAAATCTAAATTCAGAGTTTTTTGTCTTGCAACTCCAACTTCTTTTCTGATTCTGAACTCCAACTCCAAATTCTGTTTACTGTATGTATCAATTCTGAAGGTTATTTTCAGAATTCTAAATCCACATCTCATATATTGAGATAATAATGTATTTTAATAAATACATTTTAAGCCATTTAACTTAATATTACCACAAATCTGTCAGAATAGTTTGTTTTGGTTAATGTAACCTCGCCGGTCCAACACCATCCAAATTGCTCCAAGCTGGTATCAAACCGGAGACCTTCCGCAGTCGGTTGCTCTACCATGGAGGCTAAAGACCATGGCCTCTAGCGTCTGTCGCTAGAGCACCTTTAGAGGTCAGAGGAGGAGGTTTACCTGGACACCTGGCCTCTGTTACACTTGACATTGTCAGTCAATGTCTTATCAATGTCAGTTACGTCGCTTCACTCCCATTCATAAATGGCATTATGGATGCCATTGGATGCGCACGTCAGAATCTCGCTGGAAGTAGTAGGTCATCCAGGTACTTCTCACATACTGTTTTTTCCCGAATACTATGAATTCAGACATACTACTCGGCTCGCATACTGTTTTGAGCGTACTATATTGTATGGAAGTATGCAATTTCAGACACCTTAGGAGCCATCACAGAGCCTTAGGGGCCATCACACTCAACCCATTTTTTGTGTTGAGAGGCGCCGTTGCTTATGTGCGCTTCACATTTTAACTGCCTGCTAATCATGAACTTGCTTTTGTAAGGGCGTGATTATGAGGTAGAGCCTGTTTTTGGTGTCCCGAGGGGAAATCCTCCTGCCGACACCGGACAAAAGTTCATCAAACTGAGCTCAGCTCAGTCTGAACCACCCCTCAGAGCTTCCATCATCCAGGTATAGTTTTGGAGGAGTTGTTGAACTCACAGAGCTGGGTGCACCTCTAAAAGGATCCAGTGGACTCAGACAGAGGCGCCGAAGGAATCTATGCTGTTTTTCAGCCTTCCTAAAACACAAATCTCAGCTACTCTCTCAATAAAATCCATGTTAGCTATTCAGCAACGAAGCTAGAGTCACTAGGCAGACAGTAGCACTGCCATGACATGAATCTACATCTATTGTGAGGTGAATTTGGCGTATGAAGGAATCGAGTAAACTCGTTCACACGTCTATTTACAGTATGTGCAAATACCGAGATTTATTCATGCATGCTGCATCTGGTGTGAACACAGCATTAGTGTTTTATTTGGGATATTTGAATATTATTTGGGACATTAATCCCTACACCACATGGTTGGGTGTTGGTGTTTAAGTGCATATTGTGTCATTTGGGACGCAGCTACACTGTCCTACCATCACCATGTCTCCAGTGAGCGAGTTGGCCAGGTCCGACACTGAGGAATGTCCGTCTGCGTCTGGCGGCTGACCCTTAGGACTGTTGGCTGGCTTATTCCCCATATTCCTACTGAGAAACACAGAGAAACACACATCACTAAAATCACCAACAAACACGCCCCTTTCTCTTCGCCACAGAATCAAACCTCCGAACCCAGACGAGCGTTTCGACCTCACGTTATTCTGACCAGCTTCAATTAAGAAAACGCACAAGAATATGAAGAAGACACAATTAATCACAAGCATGACAATGAGGTTTACTTTCAATCACAGGAAAAATAAAGCCACAACAGAGAAATAGAAAAGAAAAAACACATTTCTAACTTTTTTTTTTTTTTTTACACATTTCCTGTAATACGACATAAACACACTGGGGGACAAAATGTTACCTTAGTTTATAACACAGGCAAAAAACAAAAACAAATGTGAAAATTAAACACAAAAAGACACCATATGCTTGTTATTAAAGTGTCAGCAAACACACAAAACTGTTAGTTCATCACGGCGATGCGTTCCGGTTCGTTTTCCAGAGCTGCTGTCCGAAGTCGCATTGGGACTGAAAGATCCACTTCAGGGAAAGTTATTGGTTCAGTACGAGTGGAGTTGACTGACAGACATTTGTGGTGTAATGCTTATTACCACAGAAAAAAATTATGATTTAAGATTGAATGTTTATTGGCAAGGAAAATAATTTACACTCACAACTCAATAGAAAAACAAACTTTAAAAAAGCCTAAGAAACGATTTGTGACTTAAAATAAATAGAAAATAAATGTTAGTTACACACAAATTATTTATTAAATTACATTTAGCACAGAAATAAAATTTTATATCACCTATCGATACCAATATGACTAATTGAAAAAAATATTTATAATAAAATATAATAAAATAAATGTTTGATGGCGCAGGAAATATTATAACATGCATTAATTAATTTAATTTAATTAACATTTATTTTCACTGAAAATATTTCGGACATGTTGGTCTATTAAAATTCTAAGCTATAAAAAATATTGTAACAAAATAAGATAATTGATTTTCCAGTCCATGTTAAATAAACATAATAAATCAGAAAATATTTGTGAATTAAAATAAATAGAAATTAAATGTTAATTACACATAAATTACTAATTATTTATTTAATTACATTCACCTCATAAATGCATTTTGACATATCACTTCAATTACAAAAATGATATAGTAAAATAAAGTTTTAATGGCGCACAAAATATATGCTTTAATAAAATTTAATTAGGGCTTATTTCCATCGAAAATATTTTGGACTATATGGATGACAAAATTCACAAGTTACCGCTAATATATATATATATATATATATATATATATATATATATATATATATATATATATATATATATATATATATATATATATATATAAACACAAATAAAAACATATCAGTCGGTTATTTATTTATTATTTATTGTTATTTATTATTCATAATAAATGTTCTAATTATTTAGCAATTTATAACATTTTTATTAAAATGTATTTATAAATTAAAATAAAAAAGTATACCAGCTTAATATTGACCACCCTGTTTCCAAGTATCTGTAATGTTCGCCTTTAAAAACCAATATTGGTCCGTTATTTATAAGTTAATTTGCAAATTCTTTAGCATTTTAAGCAATTTTAATTTAAATGTAATTATTATTTTAAATAAAAACAATTATAGTGTCTAAATATCAACCATCCTGTTTTCCAACAAAACGATATCAGTTGGTTATTTTTAAGTTCATTTTTAAACAATAAGCATTTTATACAACTTTTATTTAAATGTAATTAATAATTAAAGTAAAAACAATTATATTGACTAATTATTAACCTTCCAGTTTTGAAGATATCGGTATTTTCTTATCCATATCTGTCGCTTTTTTTTATGTTTTTTAAAATTATTTTGCATGAAAAAACACTGGGGGGGAGGGGGTGTTGATGGGTAAATCAACTGTTTTTAAAAATCTATTTATTTTCATATTTATTAATTTATGGTTTTATTTATGTCCTTTTTTGTTCATTTATTTATTTTTTGTGTATGGATTTTGCAGGTTTTGTCCTCCACATTGGACATGTTGGTTTATTAAAAATGTAAATTATTAACAGTAATGTACTAAAATAACACAAATCCATGTTATATAAACAAAAGGAACATTTTAAAAGCCAGAGAAAGTCAATATATAAAAGTGAGACAATATTTTGAACTTGTTGGTATATTTGAAAAAATATAATTAAGATATAAATAATAAAATAATTTTCACTCCATGTCAGAAAACTATGAAATAATAATAATAATAATAATAATAATAATAATAATAATAATAAACTCATCTCAAAGAATAAAAAAACTTTTTTTTTGTTGTCAAAACAGTTCCATACATTTAATTATCCAATTACATTTTTCTGTGGTTAATCACATTACTCCACAAATATTGTAGATTTACAGTACAAACATACTGTAACTTGCACTGAACCTCTAAACACTCCTTTAATAGTGAACTAAACTACCCAGTAAACCAGAGCAGGGGCCAAAAGAGCAGAGAAAGAGAACGACAGACAAGAAGAAGTGAAGAGGACAAATGAGACGAACCTGAATGAGCGACACACAAACAGAGAAGACAGGAGGACTGAGAAAAAGAGGACAACAGAGAAAAGCGATGGATGCGGCGACAGCACACGAATATACAGACCCACAGCTGGAGGAAAGAAGAAGAAGAGACAGCAAAAAGAGCAAGAAAAAGAGAGAAAGAGACGCGTTTTCTGTGATGGAAAGGCAGAAGAGATTATTCGCATGACTGGAGAGTCAAACAAAACCATGAGAGAGACGTCAACCAGCTGCAGGAGAGAGAAAGAAGAAGAAAAACAGAGTTAAACGAAAGCACAAACAGATTGAGAGACAAAAGAGGCCGGAGGGAAGCGTTTGGTTTCCGGAGAGGTGAAGCTTGGAGAAGAAGAGAAGAAGAAGAAGAGAGAAAAGATGAGCGCTGGAAAGACAAAAGAGAGAGAAGGAGTAAACATATAAGTGTAAAGAACACAGTAATGGCACATACAGTCGAAAACACAGAGAGCGGAGGGAGAGAGAGACATCGGGACGAGAGGACGGGCTGTCTTTAGACTGGCAGGGATGCGGGATGAGTGATTTTTGGGGGTTTTGCTTCACTTTAAATTTTTTTTTGTCATTTACTCAACCCTCAGAATGCATTTGTACTGTCTTCACCGATATATCGGTCATATGTCCTTGAAGAAACCAGTTGATAGAAAACCCATTTCATCTAAATTTACTTATTTACACGTTTACTTGAAGTTCATTTTATAATTACTCAGCATTTTATAGTTTTAATTTTAAATGTAATTATTAATTCAAATAAAATTCATTATTTCGGCTAAATATTGGTCATCCTTTTTTCAAGATATCAGTATTTTCGCTTAAAAAAATTAGTCAATTGTTTTTAAGCTAATTTTCTAAATATTTAGCATTTTATATACCTTTAATGTAATTATTAATTTTGAAAAAAAATTATTATATCGGCTTAATATCGGCCACCTTGTTTTTTAAGATATCAGTATTTTCGCCTTTAAAAAACACCCACATCGGTCACTTATATCTAAGCTAATTTTCGAATTATTTAGCATTTTATTCACTTTTATTTTAAATGAAATTATTATTAATTAAAATTGAAAGAGTTACAACAGGTAAATATCGGCCATCCAATTTTTCAAGATATCGGTATTTTTGCCTTTAAATAAAACATATTGGTCGGTTAATTATAAGTTCATTTTTTAATTATTTAGTAGTTTATGCAATTTTAATATAAATGTAATTATTAATTTAGATAAAAACAATTATATCGGCCACCCTGTTTTCAACATATCGGTACTTACACCTTTAAAAAACCTATATCGGTCAGTTATTTATAAGTTTATTTTCAAATTATTTAGCATTTTATAAATTTTTTATATAAATGTAATTATTAATTCAAATAAAACAATTATATCAGCTAAATATCGGTCACCCTGTTTTCCAACATGTCGGTATTTTCACTTTTAAAAACTAGATCGTTCAGTTATTTATTACTTCATTTTCAAATTATTTAGCATTTTAAATAATCTGACTTTAAATGTAATTATTAATTTAAATAAAAACAATTATATCGGCTAAATGTTGGCCACCCTGTTTTTCAAGATATCGGTATTTACGCCTTTTAAAAAAACAATAATGCTTGGTTATTTATAAGATATTGATATTTACCCCTTTAAAAAGCTATATTGGTCGGTTATTTATAAGTTTATTTTCAAATTATTTTGCCTTTTATGCCTTTTATTAAACATAATTATTATGTTTTTAAAAATTGTGTCAACTAAATATCAGGCACCCTGTTTTCTAACATAGCAGTATTTATGCCTTTAAAAAAACTATATTGGTTGGTTATTTATAAGTTTATTTTCAAATTATTTAGCATTTCATAAAATTTTTATATAAATGTAATTATTAATTCAAATAAAACAATTATATCAGCTAAATATCGGCCATCCTGTTTTCCAACATATCGGTATTTTTCCAGCATATCGGTAAATGAATGGGTCAGAAAGGAGGGAGATATCCAAAATATGTACTCTTGGTGTGCCTCCAGGAACAGGGTTGGGAAACGCTACTAAATAACTCCTAATACAATATATGCCATATAAAAGATCATGAGGGCAAGTAAACGAGGACAGAAGTTCAGATTTTTCAGATGAACCAAGATTTCCAGCTGAACCCCAGCAGTCTAAGGAGAGCGGGCGGAGGACGAGCTGAACCGAGCGAAACTCATCGCACAAACCATGAAGCGTCTGTCTGTCAACACATCTGCTGCTTCGGGAAAAACATCGTGCCACTTTGGCTCTTGGCTAATCCACTCAAAAAGTCGTCGCCACGCTGAGGGCGGAAACATGGAGGCTGTATTGTTGAAGACACACAGACGGAGTTGAAGCCAAAACAATGAGCAGGCAAAGCACAGACAGACAGGTACTGTAAGACAGAAAACAGACAAACAGACACGAGGCCAGATCTGG